TTCTTCCTTCCTCGGCAACTCCAACCACAACTCCAAGTTCGCCCACACCTTCTCCCGCTGCCTCGCCCAGCTTGCGCACCACGCTCCGACGCAATTCTTACAGAAGCCAAGCTCTACCCAGCCGAGATCGCACAAGCGTTCGAGACCCGCGATAGGGTCGTGCATGTACTCAATGTACAGGTCGCTCGCGTGCACGGCCTCGCGCCAGAGGCGCACCGCGTCCACAGTCGTCACGGCACACTGCCTACCACCGAAAACACCAACAGAAGAACAGCCGAACTCGCGGGGGTCTGGTGGCAGCGCTGCTGCGCGCGCCCATTGCGCGGCAAGCTCCTCTCGCGTCTTGATGAGCCGCGCAAGGTCCGCGGGCGGGACCTTGCGGCGCGCGCGCTCTTCGTTTGCACCGTCGAGCAGGAACTCCTGCTCGACGCTCTGTCCCAGCCCCGGCGCGCGCAGGAGCTCGTAGAAGGCACTCTTCAGCAGTGACGGCAAGCCGCAGGTCCGTGCGAGCACGACCGTCTCTTCGGCGTGTTTGGCGTTCGGGTGAACGGCTAGCGTCGGCATCGACGATGGCCACATCGTCTCCAGTGTGCGCGTCGCGAAGGTCGACAGGGCAGTGAAGGAGAGCGCGAGTGAGGCGCGTAGGAGCGCTGCGAGGTCGGGGAACTCGGGAGGTTGGAAGATGTAGTTTCTGAGTGGGATCTTATCAGCACACAGCTAACATACGAGGTTTTTTTGACATACATCGCATTGTCTAACGCGTTGAGCAGCTTCGCAAAATCATCCGGCGCGACGCCGTCGATGACGTAGAGCGGCTGGTCGTCCATGCTCCCCTGTCTCTTCGCCCGAGTGACGCGTTCTTCAAACACAACGTTGATGATTTCCCGGCCCTCGCGTCCATCGTGAAAGAGCTTTGCCAGGAACGTGCTCTGCTGCGAGAGCCGCGAGCGGTGCAGCCGGAACGCGACGCCGCCCAGCTGGAGCACAACACTCCCGTCGATGTGCCAATGCTCGGCGTGCTTCGTGGGCCGACGCGACGTTTTCACGTGCTGCGTCGCACCCGGCCCCTGCGAGGTCGAGCGCGGGGTCTGCACAGGCGCACGCTTTATTGCGGTGGGCGATGTGGTCGTCTTGACGCGCTTGGCCTGGCGCGCGTCCTCGTCCGAAGATATGCTGTCCGGGCGCTCACTCGTCTCTTTCGCAGTAGATGTCGAGCCCGACACGCGCAGTAGCGGAACAGTTACTGGCGTAGGCTTGCTCACGGGCGTGCGAAGAAACTCGCGCCGACGCGGAACAGGTTTCGGCGTCGGCAGCGAGCTTGGAGGAGGAGGGGCGTCCGCGGCCACGGCAGCGAATGCGCGCTTCTTGGTGCTCAAGGGCGCGGGTTGTGTTGCCGGTAGCATGAACTCGTTGGGCTTTGGGCGTAAGAAGTCGATATGGCGTGCTGTCGCCTCGTCTGGCTCTTCCGGGCCTGAAGACGACGACGACGACGACAACGAGGGCACGGGCGATATGGGCACCTGCGGTCTCGGCGTTGCCTCACGGTCTTCTCCTGCAGGCGCTCTCTCGTCGGGTGGTGTGCCCGGAGCGGGTGTCGAATCGCGTCGTGCCTGTTCAAATGGGTCCGGCGTGGGAGACTTCTCCAGGGTTTCTGTTGGAATTTCTCTTGACTCACTCCGTTCCGAGGACCTTTCAGCCATAACTTCTGCTTTCGCTTTGAGCTGCTCTTGCTCCTCAGGTTCCGTAGATGGCACTCTCGTCGAGACTACAGAGTAAACTTCTTGCGTCGATTCTTTCGACAGTTCCCGCGACGGTTCCTCTGACGACTCGCGCAACAAATCTTTCGAAGCTTCGCCTGGCGGATCCTCCGATGGCTCTTTCGAAGCCTCCTCCGGTAGGTAGCCAGTTGGCTCTTCCTCTACTTCGTCATCTTCAGCATCGACAGTCTTCTCCTGTGCTTTTGGCTGGACCTCCATATACTCCAGTTCCGACTCCTCGGTTTTGTCCTCCATGAGCTCGTCCCTAGCCCCCTCATCGTCCTCGTCCATCTGCATGTCGACCTCCGCATCTGAATCTGAATCGATGATGACGATAGGCACGTCCTTGTTCCCCACAGAGAGCATGTCAATGTCGATAGGCGACCGTTCGCGTTTTAGGGGCGTGCTGTCGCCTGTGAGATCAATTTCGGCTTCGATAGGCTCTTGCTTTAGCATCGTATCCGCGTGAGTGGCTTTTCTTCGGAGAAAACGGAGGTATGAGCGCAGGACGCGTGCGGGGCGCGACACTGGGGTGCCAGTTGAGTAACACAAAGGGTTGCACGATCAACTTTGCTCATAGTACTTCACCAGATGTCTTAGGACCGCACAAAATACTTCTTCTCTAGAGCTTGACGCGAGCGCGAGGAAAGTTTCTGTCGAAGGTTGACGGTGAGAGCAAAGTCAGAAACGAGAAGCGAGACACTTCCCCTCTCTTAAATTTTGGCGCCGAAGTCAGCACGGGACTTCGAGCACTCGCACGCCCCGCGGTATTATCGAAGGGCAGCACATGCAATTGCTGCGAAAATATCCTCAACAAATGTTTGCTATCGATAAGTACTATTCTGAATGTTTCCGGTGTATGACAGAAGTTAGCGACGCCGCACTGATACTGCTACTGCTTCGGTTTCTCTGCACAGAAAGCCAAGAGTCATTCAAGCTAAGGCGCGATTTTGCGTTATATACGCGATAGTTGCGCTTGCGGACAGCACGTCAGAAGGAATAGTTGAAACGCATATGCTTGTTCATGAAGTGTATGAAAGACCTCAATCGAGAGCGACGTATTCATTTCATCACGCGATAGCTGAGCTTTATCAGTATTTCGTGGAGGCGGATACACGGGGTCACACCAGTACCTATTAAATCGCCTAGCTGAAGAATTTTTAAGAGGCTTTCTCTGTCATCAATTCCGTTTTCTTTCCCCATGCATTGAATCTGCTACACACGTAGCATGTGGCGCGTCGCGTCGCGCCATGTTAATCATTGACGCGTTCGTCACATGATCACCTTTTTCCACTCATTCTGCTTTGCTCCGGGTGTCACTAACACTTTAAATGATAGAAAACTACGCGAGTCTCTAAAACACAGTAATGCGGTTAAATCGAAGTTTCCAAAGCCACTTGGTGTGGTGGGCGGGTACTCGGTGATAGCTTCCGTAGCTTCTTCACTCTCTCGTTTCCTCCCGCCTTTATCTTGTCAGTTTTATACTTCAAATAACCATATGACCTTACATATTCTGCACACTTTGCCCTCCCGACGTAAGATGTGATCCTCCCCGCCAAATATTATTGATATAGCTAGTCTTAGCGAAGTTCACGGTGGTTGCAGACTTCTATATATAAGAAGGACAGCCGAAGAAAAAAAAATTAAACTAAGGTATAAAACTCCTCTTCGCTGCGAACACAATACTTAGGCCTTCCAGAGCCAAGGAACTGCCTTGATGCTTGCGGGTAACCCGGTGAGGGCCGAGACGCGCTCGGTCACACTTCGCGTGACTTAAGAGTAACGATCCGTTACGCCGCTCGCCGTCACGCCGGGCCGAGCTATTGTCTTTGCACCTTCGAGGCTTTATTACCTTCACCTCTTAGATCTTGGCTATCATCTCTTCACATCTGGACGTCGGTCATGGTGGCCAGCGGTACTCGGCAAATAAGACCTGCGCCAGTCGATGGCTTTCCTACCCCAACGTCTGATCTGCAGACGACGACAGAGAACATCCTCAAAGCTCGCTTTGAATACGTCAAAGCGTCCCCAAATGACTTCACTGCGGACGGCCCCGTACTGCACCGAAACGCACACCTTCAGTTTCTACTGCGAAATCTCATTCAAGGATTTCCTGCTCGTTATAGGTCGCAAGATGCGAGCCAGCCGTGGCTATTCTTCTGGACGTTGCAAGGGTTCAGTGTTCTTGGCGTAGGCATGGACGAGAGTACTAGGAAGAGGTATGTCTCATGCAATCCCAGGAATGCATTGGCCGAACTGTGTTGCTATAGGACGATAGAGACTATTCTGGCTCTGCAACATCCATTCGGAGGCTTCGCAGGAGGACCTGGCCAATTCCCCCATCTACTTCCTACATACGCGTCCGTATGTGCGCTCGCGATAGTAGGCCATCCAGGGGAGAATGGAGCATGGGATCAGATCGATCGGTGCGTCTGCTCATGCGCCCCGTCAGCACCCAAGGGCTGACGACACTAGTAAGAAGATGTACAACTTCTTCATGTCCCTGAAGCAATCAGACGGCTCTTTCCTCGTTTCCCATCACGCAGAAGTAGATGTTCGGTGAGTCAATTCCCTGTACCTTGGTATCCTGTTTGATATTTTTGCAGAGGAATATACTGTCTCCTCGCAGTCGCAACCATGCTCGATATCTTGACACCAGAACTGCTCACCGGCACACCAGAGTTCATAGCCAGCTGCCAGACGTACGAAGGTGGCTTCGGCAGTGCATCCTTCCCAGACTGGGCACTGTCCAACGGTGAGTGCGTGAGCACGCCGCCTGCTCTCGCCGCACCCCACGTTCCATCTCTTATTTTCGCATCCGCTGATGCACCTGTCGACAGACGGCTCTGTGAAAGATGTAAGCGCACCCCGGCCGCCCCTCGGCGAGGCCCACGGTGGGTACACGTTCTGTGCGACTGCGAGCTGGGTGCTCCTCCAGCCGTACATCCAGACATACTACCCTGCCCGGTCTCTCTCCGCACCCTGCATCGACATCCATGGGCTCCTCCGCTGGGTCACGCATATGCAAGGTTCTGCGATCGAGCTCGGTGGTTTCAAAGGACGAACAAACAAGCTCGTCGACGGCTGCTACAGCTGGTGGGTAGGCGGCTGTGTCGTACTGGTAGAGGGGCTCCTAGGCATTGAGAAACACTCGGGAGGCAAGGAGGGGAGAGAGGGTGAAGATAGTAATGAGCATGCATGGGGAGATGTCGACGGTACATTGTTTATACACGATCGCATGCACACCTGTGCTGACCACGCACCAGACTCCCTGTTCAACCGCGAAGCTCTGCAAGAGTATGTTCTGATCGCCGGGCAGCATGCGGCTGGCGGACTGATTGACAAGCCACCGAAGTGAGCCTTGCTCCTGCATGCATATATGAGATACTTATCGCACGACAGACCAGCCGACGCATATCACACGCTGTACTGCCTCTCTGGCCTGTCAGCAGCACAGCATCGCGTTGTCCCAATTGATGAACGCAAAGCGGAGCTACTCAGCGCCTGGGTCGACGCCCCATCCGATCGTACCAAAGACGAAGGTGCGTCTCCTGTTTCTGTACCTATCCTACACAGCGTCGAACTTTGTCTCTGTGTTAGCTACGAGTCGCCTCCGCAAACGTGCGTTCGTCGACATGCTCAGCTGGGTCGAGGAGGAGGGTACAGTGGTATATGTTGGCGGCGCCGCGAACCGACTCGTACGTCCTCATGCAACTTTTCGCTCTGCATAAACCTGTTCATGATGCTGACACCATGGGTAGAACGCGACGCATCCTCTCTTAAACCTCACGGCGACGCACGTGGAGGCTATGATGGCGCACTTTTACGGGCAGAAGACGCCGATGCGCGGGGCTGGTACGAGTGCATAAGACACAAATGTCACTCAAACGACCACAATGGAAAGTTGACAATGTACGAATAGCTTTACCTTAGTGGTGTCCATGGCTGTGGTCGAACGTGGTATATAATGGAGGAGCAGGAAACTGTGATCACGTGTTGACGATGTATAACGCTTTCAACCTCGAGA